TTATTTTTAGTATTTTACGAAGAGATGCATCGTCGATATTATACAACCCCAACTAGCTACATGGAGTACATACGTCTGTTTGGTAGTAAATTCCAAGAGAAAGCATCAAGTTTTACGCTTAACCGAGATCGRCTTTCCAGTGGTCTGGAAAAGCTCGGAGAGTGTAATTCTCTTGTTGGGACAATGCAAAAGGAACTTGTTAACTTGGGGCCTCAACTGGAACAGGCGTCTAAAGTAAGTGTAGCTTTTTAAGTTGAATTTCCTAAATTGACTTCTTTATATTATATTTGCTGATATCTGTATAAAATTGAGTTACACTGAAAAAATAAATATCATTTAGGTGTCCAAAATCTTAAATCTTATTTCCAAGATATTCACACGATATTTCCATGATAGTTGCAGAATTCAAAGCGCGCTGTCTTTTCRCAGTGTAGCACACTCCGGTTTGGTTGTTCTCGCTTTTGCTCCGTTGACCGGTTATTTTCTAGGTGTGCTTTCCTTTTGTAACTAGCTAGTTAGAATATGTTATCATTTGTTTATTTATTTCTTGCCTTGWCAGGACACAGAGAAGCTCCTAGAACAGTTTGCACGTGACCAAGAAGCCGTCGACCAAGTTCACAATGTCGTRCAACAAGAAGAAGAGTTCATGAACCAAGAGGCAATGCGAGTTCAAGACATKGCAGACGAAGCACAACATGATTTAGAAAGCGTCATTCCACAGCTCCAGCAAGCTATTGCAGCCCTCGACGCCCTCGACAAGTCAGACATATCRGAGATACGCGTGTATACCAAACCTCCTCCAATGGTGATGACTGTCTTGTCTGCTGTTTGTGTCCTTTTGCAGCAAAAACCGGACTGGAACACTGCAAAACTGCTATTGGCGGATCCTGGGTTCTTGAAGAGTCTTGTTACTTATGAAGTGCACTCGGCGCCGGATAGGGTAAAACGTCAAAGTGATTCAATCAGAATTTTGGAGTYATTCATATCATTGTCAAAAGGAACTCCACTATGGAGCCGGTTGTATGAAGGGTGACTAGCGTTATCCACCGGATAAATCTATCTTCAATTGTTGCCTAAATATCTTGGACCTTACAATAAATTGACTCCAGCCTAAATTTTGTTTTCCTMAACTTTTTCTTGTTGTTCCCCCACCCCTCTTTCATCAATTACGGTTGTTGTTTTCGGTGGTTTTCGGTACTATGATAACAGTATTGTTTGCTGAAATTGTCTGCTGTTTTGCTTGAATAGGCGATTTGCATTATGGCGTCATTAACTACAACTACCAGAATGCTTTGCTCACTTTCTTTTGTAATGCAATTATTGCCAATTGTTTTATTAATCTCCAAGGAGATTAAAAATCTGAATAACAATGAAAATTCGCAAGGCTCTCTGATAGTTGTAGTAAAGTTACGCCATCATGCAAATGGCCTATTACGAAGGGTGCTTTCCATTTAGGTAGAACTGGCCGGCCAGTCCACTCTATTTCGATGTATATGATGCTTTTTGTCAACATTTGTCAGTCATTTGGAGGTTTTTTGTAGAATAATGGATAGAATTTGAAAATTTGAATTTCCTAACTAAATGGGAATGATATATAGTGACATTTTCTCTGGGTCTGACCAGTCAGTTCTGACAAATGGAAAGCGCACGAATTTTCACTTGAATGATCCAAGCATTTTGGCAACAATAGTAGGGGATAATGATCAATGCAATGGATAATGTTATCGAAGGTGGGTAACTTTATTCACGCTTCGTACCATCAGGCAGGATTACCAATAAGGTCTTGATAGTTACAATGATGTTATGATAAAACGAGAAATTCGTAGTACATAAATACAAGGAAGAATGGAGAAATGACACTGGATAACAAATCAGTATCTCATCTTTATCTTATTTACTCCAGGTATTTGTGCGCCTCAAAAGGTACACCCAAAACCCTAACTTCAACCCAGAGGCTGTTGGTAGAATTTCTGTTGCGTGTAAATCCATGTGCGAATGGGTACTGGCTTTGGAAAACTACAACGAGGTAAATTTTACTACTCAGGACGCGGATATCATGGGTATATATTGATCTTTTGGRCGTGGCTACCTACGCTGGACAAAAKGAATTTTGCAACTTTGTCGCCTACGGGCTGGCAGTCTGCATGTAACTATGTCTGTAATCACTATATCAATTTAGGCAACTGTTCAATATGTAACCGTTCCATTAAAGTACGATTTGCAAGATTTATCTTTAAACTTATTATCATTTCGGCATCTCTATAGATTACAGATATTTGTGAGTCATATTAGAAGTCAAAACATATCATCTAAAATGGATAATAGTGCTTTTCCATTTCATGAAACTCTCACAATTGCTATCTGTCCAGCTTGACTATTTCACGTGATTAATTGAAACAAATAACTGATTAAGAAGAGATAATACTGACAAATCAGCGAATTTTGTTTAGGTTTACAAGATGGTGCAGCCAAAGCAGAAACGTTGCGAGGAAGCTCAAGCAGCACTACAAATCGCTAACGAAAACTTGGTGGGGAAACAGCAAAGCTTGGCTAAAATCCAAAACCAGTTAGATATCCTTCAGCAACAATACGATGATTCTGTCCGTCAATTGGAGGAGCTGAAAAACAAGAAAGAGCTTACAATCGCTCGACTCAAGAGGGCTTCAATACTGACTTCTGTTTTATCTGAAGAACAGGTATTTGAAAAGGGATAATGAGGGGGAAGGGTTTTGGGGTAGCGGGGGAATCAAGTATAGAATAAATACATGGACGCTTGAACTGTGTGTGGACAAGGCACTACATTACCCTGAGTTCAGCCAAATCAAAACTGTTTTTCGGCTGCACACAGGGGCTGGGAACTATATATGAACAGTAAATTTAGTTTGTTTTGTTAAAAAACAATGTTTTGTTAGGATCGCTGGAGCAAATCTTRGGAACAAGTGGGGAAGCTTGCTACAGGTCTTGTAGGTGATACAGTACTTTCGACAGCGGCCATTACCTATCTCGGAGCCTTCAGTTCGACTTACCGACAAAGTCTTATGAATCGCTGGATGGCTTTCTGTGACGATGCAAATGTACCATATAGCGAGGCTTTCGATCTGACAAATTTTCTGTCCGAACCAGTGGAAGTTCAGATGTGGTTGAATAATGATTTGCCCCATGGAAAGATCTCCATTGAGAATGCTTGTATCATTAAGCATTGCCATCGATGGCCGTTGATCATTGATCCACAAGAACAAGCAAGTAAATGGATCATGACCAATGAAAGGGAGAATCGACTAAAGGTTGTTAAAGCAACYGATCCTAACTACATCAAGACACTTGAGGAAGCCATTCCCCTTGGAAACCCTGTACTGATTGAGGTATACCTTGAAATAGAAAGAGATTCGAGCAGGAATGCACATTGCTAATATACTAGAAACGAGCATATACTCATTGATGAAAAAGTTATTTGAACTTTGATAAACTTAACAGGGGGTCCTGGATCCCCCCTGTTAGGGAATCGTATCTCATATTTCATTTTCCCATTTTATCTTTTACCTATTAGGACGTCGGCGAGCAGCTTGACGCCTCCATTGAACCTCTTCTCACCAAAAACTTTATCATGCGAGGAAATACTCTGGCTGTGTCGTTTGGCGACAAAACCATCGAATATAACGAGAACTTCAAACTATACCTTACCACGGCATTGCCTAATCCTCATTATCTACCCGATGTTTGCATCAAGGTGACCCTTATTAACTTCACTGTCACGTTGGAAGGTCTTCAYGACCAGCTCTTGTCACGTACGGTACAACTCGAAAGACCACAYTTGGAGGCGCAGAGAAAGGAAATTTTACATAATCTAGGTACTGTGAACACTGCACGAACGTTCAAATTCATTCGGATMTAAAACAATGTTAGGACAAGTGCTTTTTTTAAGACAAGCGTTAATAAAACTGATTGCTCTCTGTCTTGATTTCCCATTTGCTCAACGATAGTTRGTGGTATACGTAGTGGGAAAATGAAAATTGGGTTGAACCCACCACTAAGATGTCCAAGGGGTTTCAYAACATTTGACAATTTTTGGATGGCAAACCAGTGTTTATTTTAAGATAAGTTTGGTACCTTTCTCTAAATTGAGGCTGGCGATGAACACTTTCATTCTGTGCAAGAGATTTTGGGTAAAAGGGATGAAAATGCAATTTTTATTCCTAAACGCTGATGATAACAATAGGTTGGAGGACTATGCATTGAATTTTCACCTGTGTAATCCATCGTTTGGAACAGGCCACACTGCAAATAAATAACAAATTAAGCTTAATCATGATTATATGTCGCGATTCATCCAGTTTGCTTTTAGGTCCCATGTTTCTAATGTTTATCTTAATGTATTCTGTTATTTCAGTGAAAGATCGTTATAAAATGGAAGAATTGGAAAATCGGTCTCTWTCTCTTCTCCARACATCACGTGGCAACATCCTAGACGATGAYGTACTCATCACTACCCTTGATGAGAGTGTCAAGATGTCGCACGTCCTTCAAGAACGTGTCGAACAATCAGAACACACCGAGGAAACCATTAATATGAACCGAGAGAAGTATATTCCAGTAGCCAGTCGAGGCGCCATTTTGTACTTCGTCCTGGTGGAATTGGCCAACGTGGACGTCATGTACCAGTTTGCGTTGCCTTGGTTTACACGGCTATTCGCCAAGTGCCTGGAGTCTTCAAGAGAAGAAAGGCCACATTCGCCCATTCCTCCAGGAAGTGCAGGCACCATAAGGCCCTTAAAGAAAGGAAAGGTTTACCCTGGTAAGAGAAGTGTAATTTTTTGTTATCTTCTGTTTTGTTGGGAATAAAAGAAGCCATTATTTCTATTTGATGGAAACMTTTCTGATGGATCGACGTAACGATGGGAATCACTCTCTTTGCTCGTGTTTCTAAGTTTGCCTTTTTTGTGCCCTCCATTCCCCACTGTTTTTTTATTAATGGGCAAAGGCACCCTCGGCCTTTTCTTTTGCTGCCTAAGGTATAACAAGTGTTCATGATATCACCACAGAAAAACGCATGTCCCTAGTACAACGCGCCGGCTTTCGACGCCAAATGACAGTTGGTAAACTAAAAGARGACAACGATCTCCCCGAGTACCTGAAGGGTTTGGTGGACCTTCTGACTGAGAACGTATACCGTGTTGTCTCTCATGCCATCTTTGCTCGCCACAAGCTTACCTTCGCGTTTATGTTATGTGCAAGTATCTTGAGAAATGATCTGCTCAAGCGGGATCCAGAAACAAATCGACCAGCTATAGACGAGCTGGAATGGGATCTGTTCTTAAGAGGAGCTGCCATTGCTGCAATAGCTGAAAGGTTAGCAGCACACGAGGGAGATCCAGCACTGGCTAGAGGTAAAGTCTTTTTCAGCTTTGTCATTAGGACTAATAAAATTTAAACCCGTATTAATGAATTCGTTTGCAAATCTTGGAAACAATGTCATTGCCGTCTATCAGGATTGGCAAAACATAAGCAATAACCAACATTAGTAGTGATTTAAGGGATTAAACAAGAATTTCGGTGATATGTTATTCTTATGAGATGCCAAAGAAYTAGCACAGTCGTTACCCTTGTTCCTCTACCATAGAAAAGGGTCTTGGGAAAAACACAATCCAAAGTTAAATTTMAAAATTGTTGTCCGGTTCTCAAGAAAAGGTTTTTGGAATAATATTTGTTAACATTTCCGCATTGAGGCGTATAGTTCCTTATGAATTTCATTCAGTCAGTGCTTCCAAAGGTTTTATACAACCATTTCTTTCACAATTTCTCAGTTAAGGTCCCAAGAGCGGGCAGCTTTGGACATTTGGTGACCAAGATGAGCAAGTCACCTGCCAAGTGGATCCCAGAGTCGGCCTGGAAAGAGTGTCTACAGCTGTCAGGCCAATTGGAGGCTTTTGCTGGTCTTACTTCCAATATTGCTGTTAATCACAAATTCTGGAAAAAGTTCTCAACTTGTGCTGACCCTTACGAACTTCTAGAAACTGGAGAAGACTTCTACCAACCGGATGCCACAGGTGGGTTGTTTCAGGGATGAGGAAGAGGAGGAATATGACATTTTTGCATGTTTCCTTCTATTCCGACCGTCCGTCCTTCAACTTCAGTATATAATTTATTAGTTCGTTTTTTTTTTGTTCATAAACAGTGACTTCTTCGTCTTTCTTGCTGTGCTTGTTTCCTACTCCTTTTTCTCAGTTCTATGTACATGTCAGTAGTTCGTTCTCATTCAAAGCCTCCCAGATTTTATTTTCTATGTTTTCACTTCACCTCATTGTCTCCATATCTATATGTCTAATCAACTTGAATTCCTTTGCAGGTCGTGTCATGCGTGTTGGTTGGAACTGTTCATCTCTTTCTCGATTTCAAAGGCTCATGCTCGTCAAGGTCCTTCGACCCGAGTGTCTGTTGGAGACTGTGCGCAAGTTTGTAGAGAAAGAACTTGGAAGCGTGTTTGTTACGAGCTTAGGTTTTGATTTACAAGATATCTACGAAGAGTCTAGTTCTACAACTCCTCTAATCTTCATTCTATCTTCAGGTATTATTTATCTTTGTYAAATGTTTGAGATATAACGTGCGCTGTCATTAGGGGATGACGGTCGCTCGCTTGAAAATGCAGAAAGAAGTTATAAAAMAACTAGACCGAGAGATACTAGATTATATAGAACAAAACGCATGATTTTGACAATTACCCGCTTTTTTAGGCTCAGATCCTGCGTCACATTTGATACGTTTTGCTAAAGAAATTCGAGGTACAACTCTTCACTTAGAAATGATCTCGCTGGGTCGAGGTCAAGGCCCCAAGGCGGAGGAAGCCATTACAAAGGCTTACCAGCAGAAAGGAAAATGGGTTTTCTTGCAAAACTGTCATCACGCTTCATCATTTATGCCACGATTGCAGCAGATAGTTAGAAAGTAAGTCAAAAAACATTAATTAACTTTTTAACATTTAATTAATTTTGTGAAGAATCGACATRCTCCAGTGTTTTCAAAAGTTATCTTCCATCTTGGTACTTCAGTCAATACCATGTCGAACTTCGCATGACGTTGTCAAAGGGAAGCAACATTTGTAATAGATATATTTATGACACTTCACAGGACGGAACAGTGTCACTAAAATAGATATGTCTGCAATCTGTGATGTGGTAAAGAACGTTCCTTGTGAGCTTTTCTAAAAATAACCAAAAACATTTCATTTTCTTTGTTGTTTCGACAGGATATCACATCCAGACACAAATGTTGATKCACAGTTTCGTATGTGGTTGAGTTCCAAGCCAGACCCCTCGTTTCCTATCTCCATTCTACAAGCAGGGCTGAAGGTAACTTATTCAKAACAAAAAATCTTTATATTTTGGAAATTGTTTATCGTTGGGCCAGTCAGCACCGATCGAAACGGGTCTCATGATAGGTTGAGAAAACAATGGACAAACAATAGATAAGTCTTCTGACAAACAAAACCTAACCTAACAATTCTTCGTTTTCATTAAACGTCACAGCGGCCATCTTGGAGGAACTTTAACAAAGGATTTATCACTAGTATCTATTGTTAATTCCTCCAACATGGCCGCCGGTCCTTTATCTTTTGAATCTCATGGGAATGGTTGAAAACGATCAATAGAGCTGCTGTACTTAAGCAGCAAACAAAAAGCAGGTTTCAATCGATACTGTATTACTGTCGTGGTTGACTTCAATATATCGGTGCCATTGCTTGCCTTTCAATTAGAATAAGTGTTATGCATCTTGTTACACGCGGTGGTCAATGTTTCACGCGGGGGCCAATGTTTCACGATTATGTGCGACGGTATTCAGGCTCATGAGTTTTAGCTGGAGTTAAAACCAAACAATAACGACGATACTAGTAAAAGTATAACTAGCTCCATTTTTCTTGATTATTGTCAGATGACCATCGAGCCTCCACCTGGTGTCAAGGCGAATCTACTGCGTTCGTTTGGTGGTATAGGGGGCGTGGTATCAGAGGCTCAGTTTGACGACACTAGTGTAGGGCCAGCATGGAAAAGGCTCTTGTTTGGGTTGTGTTTATTCAACGCTGTGATCCACGAGCGAAAGAAATTCAGTTCGTCTCTTGGWTGGAATGTACCCTATGAATTTTCATCATCTGACCTTGAGGTTTGAGTTACTCATGATTCAATGTATGATATCGCTTGAAATAGTTGAGGTGACCGTTTTGGCACCCCTGCTGTCGAGTAGGCAAAGTGTCGCAAAATAACAATGATAGACCGGGAAATCGATGTCAAGATAATTCCCGCTGAATTCACATTCGGAAAGAGTTATCAGTTAGATATATAATTCTTTTAGAATTTGAATTCAGCGAGAAMTATTTGACATCGACTTCCCGGTCTATCCTTGCTATTTTGCGACACTTTGCCTACTCGTCCAAGATGGGCGCCAAAACCATCACCTCAACTATTCTGAATATGAAGTCTGAACTTGTTGTCTTAACAACCACATTGCGCTTTTATTTTAACTTCTCCATTAACATGATTTCACTATTTGTTTATTTGTTCGCTTAGTTCTATTTATAATAACGTTATTTTTTTYTACTTTAGGTGGCGATTCAAATGCTACGCAGGCTGCTGACCGATCATCGAGAGGTCCCTTGGCAGGCCATGTGGTATCTAACAGGCGAAATCGCATACGGCGGACGCGTCACCGATCCTTGGGATCAGCGGTGTTTGCAGAGCATTCTACACAAATATTACAACCCTGACGTATTACAAGAGGATTATGGGTACACTTCASACTTAGTAAGTAGAAACAGAAAGGTTTTTAACGCTCGCGTTTTGTGATAATAAGTGTCCTAATTGCACTGAATTCTTTTATATTCAGGTTTATCGTCCACCTCCACCCAATATATCTTTGTCTGTTTGCTGTACGTACATCGAGAGCCTGCCAGCCTCTGATTCAACCGAGTTGTTTGGTATGGATCAAAATGCAGATAATACTTACCTTATAGGACAGGCAAAAACCCTTATACATGACCTACTGTCAGGGCAACCTACTGTCTCACTGGTTTCTGGGTAAGTTGTTTCGTTACTGTAAGAGTTAATAGACTTCTGAACCTTT